GGCCGCGTTCGGCCCTCGGCCGCAGCCTGGGCCCCCTGCCTCCGCCCGGCAGTCCGGGCCCGTCCCGGACTCTGCCCCACGCTTCTGGGTTGGCCTGCTGCCTCCCAAGGCACAGGGGAGGGCTTTTTACGTGCTTCGGCTTTTACCCCCTGGAAAGGCGTTGCTGGCAGGGTTCTCTCTGCTCCCCTCAGCCCCTGTTACTGGGACTCGGGTGATCTTGCAGAGCGTTTTTTGAAGTGGAGAGTGTAGACCTGCAGAAGTTCTGTCAGTGCGAGATGTCGTGTGACTCTGTCCGTGCTGGAGGCCCTGGGCATCTAAGAAGTAGCTTGGACGTTTGCGTCCATCCTTCCTTTGGTATTTTATTGCTGGTGCCACACAGCTGCTCAGAGTGTTACATTAGCGTCTCTCTAATACTTACAGTGTCTGTGTGTTGTCTTACAGTTGCATAGATTTTAATGGAAGCAAAAATTGATGATTTCTGGCCAAAGGCATTTGCAATAAGCTACAAGTATGGGTTTGTGTTAGTGGTAGACTACCGTTTGAGAATCAGTCTGTAAAGACAGTTTCAAGTCCCTTCTTCGAGGTTGGTTAACTTCTCTCACTTCTCTCGCAAGCTAGAAGACAAATTACAAGTTTTTTTTATAATAAGCATTGGTTTTAAAGTTTGCAGATAGAGCAGTTGTGTGTTTTATTACATTGTGAATGAGGCTTAAAAGTGCTTAGTGATGTATTTTAGTTTCTGATGCTTGAAATGTTAATGGAACAGTATGGAATCCCGGTGGAACACCTTTGGAAGGGTAACATTGCACCTGTATGACCTGAAGGTGTATTTGGCCCATACTGGTTTAACCAAAGTAAAATGTATGTGTATTTTCCCCTGCGTAGTACCCCTAGCATCTTACAGTTAAAATGGCAGAGATTTTTGTGTTGTTAAGTTTTCTTTTTCTCTTTTTCCTGTTCTGCTTCTATGTGATAGTGCACAGCTGGTTTCTTTTGGTATGCCTGTCCCCTCACCCTCTAAACTGCACTTGTTATTTCTTCCTTTGTTTATTTGCATGTCCCATTCTATTGCCAAATTCTTCCTTTTGCCTACTCATGCGCACTCTGGTATTTGGCACAGGATTTGAAAACTTTACTGCGTACCTGAGAGCTCAACAAAGGCAAGAGATTTTGTGTTTTTTCTGAGGGGTTCAGTGTGAACCCCTTGATTCTTCTATGGTGGGAGAAGGAGGGAAGGTATTTAAATTCCTGTGAGTTGAGAAGGGGAAAGTAAGTCTGGGGTAACTGTTTTGTGAAGGGATCCAGCTTTTCTGTCTCCAGTGTGTGAGATAACTTTCAGATTTCCTCCTTTTTTGAATAAAAAAAGCAATCTCTCTTTTTTTTTTTTCTTGTTTTGTTCCTGTGACTGCTGATCTGATTTTTTGCCTTAAAGGTGGTATGATAGGAATGGAGGGGTCCGCAGTACCTTTGTTGCAGTGTCCTGGCGAGAGAGTAAGGGATACAAAAATGTTCTGATTCTTGATAGCTCCTTTGCATACAGAGTTTTGCATTGGCTTCATTGTAAACTAAAATGAGATCAGTGAGTTTGTCAGGCAATAGTGTAAAAGGGTTGTGAACAGCAGCAAAGCAACTGAAGTTGTCTGCTCTTAGGCACGCAGACAGACCGCACTGGTTAATGCAGTTCAGAATTGGAAAGTTGCCTTTCAAAGTGCAAGGGCTCATAAAAATCTTAACTGCTTTTAAAGTTGATGGCACTCACTCAGTAAAGCTTCTTGTGCCTCTTTAGTATGAATATTTGTTTTTATTTTTGAGTTGGCAATGTATATAACTTCAGGAGATGGGTTCTTTGATTTCTTTGTATTTTTTAGTAACAGGGCAAGCTCTTCTGACTGAAAGTGATGCTAATTTGTTCTAGATGATACTCAGCTGTTCTCTGAGGAAAAGGGTCTGGTCTGCCTTGGCAGCAGTATTACTTCATTGAATGAGAGTTTTGCAGTTAATAAGTGAATATATGATGAAGCTGTAACTCGAAAAACAGAGTTACAGTAACGTGAGTACAAGTGAATCTGCTAATAT